CTCCCTTGGGTACCTTTCTGGGGACTTGCAGGCATTTTCCCTCCCTGCTGCCTCCCTCCAGCCTCTCCCCCGGTGTGCTCAGCCCCCCAGGTCTGCTCTCTCCAGTGCTTCCCCCTCACCGCTGCTGGCCAGACCTCCCCGCGCTCCCTCCCCAGCCACGCTGCAGGAGCAAGGAGATTTTTGAATATTGTTTTTCCCAAAAAAGTTGAAATTGTAACTCCTGCCTGCCTCTCCCTCACTGGAGAGGGGATGGGTGCAATAAGCAGTTTGTGTTTTTTGGGGGATGATGTGATCTGAGCACCTGTGAAATCGCCGAATGGGAGGTGATAAAGACCCTCCTTCCTGCCCACCGCTAGACTTCAGCCCAGTTTGTTTTGTTTTCTTTCGTTTTATCTTTTTCTTTTTTTTCTTTCTTTTTTTTTTTTTTTTTAATTTGGAGCAGTGAAACAGAGCACAAAATGTATTCCAAACAAACTCCTCTCTATGCAACCGCTTCCCGATGAGGCATGAAAACCTACCCGGCACAACAAGGGATACAAGGATCTGAAATACCTACTGGTCATGGCTGAAGCCCATAGTTCCCTGTACTGCTGAGGGGCTTGCACTCATAATGAGCTGACGTTAAGAGCCGCAGTTTGTCCGTCTCCCAGAGGCATTTCCCATCGGAGGTGCAGCACGAGAGCATTTGCTGTGGGGACAAGCGGTCACAATGCAGCTCCAGCAGCACAAAGAGGTTCTTCTGGCTGCTGGCACCTGATGCCCATCAGCCTGGGCAGTGCCTTTCAGATGGCTCCTCTGCTCTAAAGCTTCCTTGAAGTGAGCAGCAGCCTCTGGTCGCAGGTTGCAAAGCCCAGGAGGGGAAGGCAGTGGCTGGAAGCGCCGCGGGCAGCAGCCCTGCTGCTGCTGGAGCAGCTGGCCATGCACCGAGGCGGCCGCTCCCTCACGGCGAAGGAGCTGAACCGTTTGACGAGGGGCGGAAACTAAGAATGGGCTTCTTGCTGGTATCGTACTTCAGACCCTGACCAAGCACTTCTGCAAAAGATTTGGGCTTTATTGCATTTTACCCAGGCCAAGTCCTTGTGCTAATGTTTTTGCCATGTCTCACCATGGCTTCCTGTTTTTTTTTTGTTTTGTTTTGTTTTTTGTTTCCTTTTTTTTCTTCCGTTATAATTTTGTTCTTGATTTTCGGTGTGACTTGTTGTACTCTATGACAATAACCTTCTTAGCTCTAATGTCCCTCCTACCCCTCAGCAGTTGACCAAGCTCCACCAGTTGGCTATGCAGCAAACCCCCTTTACTCCCCTTGGACAGACCACCCCCGCTTTCCCTGGTACGTACCCACACGCCCTTTCTAGATATCCTTCTCTTCTTACCTGTAGAGTTTCTCTGTCTTTCTAAACTCATGCTATTTAATGGAAACAACCAGGACAAGTAAAACTGAAGTTGCAATGTCCACGGGGAAAGGTTAACAGGGAGACTAGATGGATATTTGGGGGTTACAGTCCTCAAGGGCAAGCTCTCAGCCGTTAACCGTGCACGCCTGGACTGCTCCTGCAAAGCCACGTTTACCTTGCTCCCAGCTTTGCTGGCTTTCCCAGCAGAAGTGATGAGCGCCCGTCTCCCATCCTTCCCCACCCGGAGGAGGTAGCATCCCCTGCCACGCGCTGACCTGGAGCCTGGTAGGATATCCCCACTTTCCCGGGGGGAATGGTTCAGTGCTGGCTGGGGATGCTGCCCCAGCATCCGCGGGGAGCGGTGCCAAGCCAGGCAGGATGGCACCCCTGCGCTGGGGAGAGCAATGGGAAAGAACCGTGGCCGTAGGGAGCCGCGTTGCTGGGAGGACAGCCCGCCCTGGTGTGGCTCAGCAGCCTCGTCCCCAAGGCTGGCGTTTTCACGGTGACCTGGGAAGCAGATAGAGCACAGGGGATAGAAATACTTAAAGTACATTTGTTTACTCGGTGGTCGAAGTGCCGGTTGGAAATGCCTTTTCTGACAGTATGTTCATCATATTTTGAGCTTCCTAGATGAAGTGACATTGCTTATCTCCTCGAAGGCAAAAGCATTAAACCTGTTTCTTCTTTGCTCTTCAGGAGAAAAGCTGCCCTTACATTCCTCCGAAGAAGCTCAAAATCTGATGGGCCAATCATCAGGTAAAGCACAAAGCTACAGGGAAATAAGCAGGATTCTGTTGAAATATATTTCTTAAATAGGACTGTGCCATTGTTGTGCTCCTAGATAAATTGTGGTATTTGTGGAGAAGACGACAGGTTTTCTTGGTGGGCAGGGAGAGCCCGGGCAGCACTGTGCCTGCCGTTCTCCTCTGTACAGCATGTCAAAAGAAAAGTGCCTGGAGTTTATTGCCTAGTTTTTTGATGTTTGCGTGTAACTACCATCTGTGTAACAGAGAGACATCACAGTCATCACCCTTATTCTTTCATTTAATTTTGCATAAACTTTGCTCAGAAACAGTAGAAAAATGCATGTGGGAACAGAAATGACATGCAATTTTAGCTATCTCTAAGCCATTCAGGGTGAGCTGCGTTTTCAGTGGGACAGGACCCTGAGGAGCCAAAGCATGGCCATAATCTTGGAGAAATGTTGATGTCAAATGCCCTGGACATTCATCCATATGTGCTGAATGTGCTTGTCTTTTATTACCTATCATTGCTTAGAGGAGTTATCCCGAGACCTGGCAGCTCACAGGCAATGTGAGTCTGACCTCTCCTGGGCATACCTGGAGCACGCGTGTGCTCTGCGGCCAGCCCAGGTACATCCATGCATGCCTCGAAAGTCTGGGGATGTCGCCTAACTAGGAAAGCAAACACAGCCCAAGTAAATAGACCCCACAAGACTACAGCAAATACTGATTTCATGATACCAGCCTGCCGAGCCTTGTTTTCTGCATGCCCTGCTTTGCCCTTTGCAATCACCCATGGCACTAATCCTGCCCTGACATCCCCACATTACAGCCATGGGAACTGCATGGGCATATCAGAGAGGGTGGAGCTGGTACACCGGAATAAACAGTCTCCAGGTAATGGAGAAGGACGTGGCCATTCCTCAATGGTCGTTGTGATGCAGGAGTGGTGCAGTAGCATGGCATGCGTGCCCCAAGGAATTCACAGATAGGGCAGGGGGCCCTATCTATGAATCTGATGAGCCTAGCCTGCATTTCCAAAGACTCCTGAGTGCCTCAGTGCTGCTCTGAGCCCATCCCCAGTGCTCCGTTCCCTTCAGAAGACATTTTCTGCCATACCTAGGCTGCTACTGAGCTGAGCCTTGTATTGCATGGCCAAGAGATGGGAATACCCGCACCCTGGAGGACACATCTTTTTTTTAGGTGCAGTCCATCTGTCCCTAGACCGTGAGGAGGCTTGGCAAGAAAAGTGGTCCATGACTGGCGAAATGTATCCTCCAGTGCAGCATGCTATAAAGTCAGCATTAAGCATTGCCTGCTGTGTAAAACGTGTACAGGAGCTGTTTTGTGCAGGCTTCGTACACCCAGCAGGGCTGAAGGAGGGCGTAGGGCTGCTGAATGGAGGATTTTTATCCCCATTCCTTGCCTTTCTGTGGGCTCCCAAGTGAAAAACGTGGTAGAGAGACCTCCCGCAAGCGTGTGCCTGGGAGGCGTACCCAGGCGTTGCGTCTCGGTAAGGGAAGTGCATGTGGGAAAGTGCAGGAATCATGGAAGAGCGAATCGAGGATACCTGATATTCTCCTTTCTAGGGGTGATGCTCAAATGGAATTACAACCTAAGGCTTCATTTTAATATTTTAGAAATCTTGCTTTGACAGTGGCGGTACCCAGACAGACATCAGTTCAGACCTGCTGCATTTTAAAACCTGGGCGGCTGTTGCTGGCAAAACTGGACGGGAGCTCCTCTTCACGATGCAGAGGGCCTCGATGGAAGTGCAGACCAGCAAAACCTGGCCATTGCTTGGAGGAGTTGCTCAGTGTGGTTAAGGCAGCGGCATAGTGCCGTACAGCTTGAGGAAGCCCTGCTTGCTGGATTGGGTGACGAGGAATTCGGTGCTGCTGCTGTCTTGTGTTGTAGTAGACCAACACTTCCAGTCTCCTTGTGCTTCTTTTCTCTGCATCCCCTTACTCGACACAAGCATCTTGGAGTCTTGCACACGCTGCTCTTAAAAGCCTTCCTTGGTAGTTCGTATCGTACGGATAAGGGTTTTTTTTGAGGTTACTGCAAATTCCTGTTAGCCACTGGACAGCTTCTGTCTTGCAGATTTGGCGTAGGACATCCCTGCTTCAGCACAGAGGTGATTTAACATGGAAAACTGTGGGAAAGGCAGGCTTCCACCTGGCCTAGGAGCACGATGGCTTACTGTCCTCTTACCTCTGGAGCTGCACACACGGGGTAGCCTGCTGGCTCCAGCCTTTCCCACCATGGAGGAGAGTGCCCTCCCTGGCCCAGGAGATGCTTGGAGGAAGCACGTTGTAGGGAAGCAATTTTGTAGGGAAGCAGGCTCTAAATCTCCATACTGTTTGCCTTGCTTTCCCTTGGGAGTAAGGGGGACCATCGGTCTGGGGGCCAGCTAGCATGCATGTCTTAGCAGTCTAGCTTAAATCCAGCGTGCAAGGCTGTGGGGCTGTGACTTGCAAAGTGCTTTGCAGGTTGTCCTGTGCTAGTGCTGTCGGATCCCCCCGGGAAACCGGTTTTTGGGGTGCCAAATTGCTGTCGTAACCAAACAGCTCTGTGCTGCTGTGTTCAGAGAGGGCTGGAGGGTGCCTGGACAACCCTCCCGCTGCCAGGCTGTCTGCCTCTCGGGTTGGGTTTCCCAGCCAACAGGCTATCTGCTGCTGTGTGGAGGAGGGCTTCACGGGAAAGTGCTTTTCCCAGCTCTCTCCGGCGATCTTGCAGCAACCTCGCACTGTAACGCACTCTCCTCTGAAGCCATTCCCAGTGGGAGGATGGAGGGTGGGAAGTGAGGCACTCATAGGGCAGCATCTGCGAGGCCAGCCTGAGGGATGCAGGGGAAGGTGGCACCCAGCTCCAGAAGAGTCAGGTAGCAACCATTTTCCTCCTCCTTGTACCAGAGTGTGTGATCCCCTTCCCCTCCCAGCCCCGGAGCAGGATGCAGCCTTTGCAGTGTTGACTGTTGCGGGAAAGCAGCGGAGCTCCACCGCACTGCCTTTGCACGCTATAACCATTTTCCCTTGCATATGCCCAGGTTTGGATGCCAGTCCCCCGGCCAGTACTCATGAACTCACCATTCCCAATGATGTAAGTAAATTCAAGTGCTTCCTTGGCGTGTGTGTGTGTGTGTGTGCATACACATATGTATATATATGTGTGTGTGTGTATATATATATATATATATATAAGCTGCAGCCATATGACTTTGTTAAATATGTTTAGAGATGCCCCTTCACCAGGTTCACTCGTGCCATGTGCAGTCTGTTGGGGATCAGCCTGCAGCATAAAGTGCACATTGGACTTTTACCCCACCGGTAGCTTTCTTAGGTACGATCCTCCTTAATGCTCCTTTTCCCTTTCCAAGTGAACTCAGTGCTCATGAAACGTGCCCAGCTGACAGCACTGGGAAGGGGAGGGAGCTCCCGAGCCGGCCCTGATTAAACTATAATTGCTTAATCTAGCACTGGCAGATCTGAGATGATATTTCAGCTCAAGCGTAGTTGCTGGGTGGGGGTGTGAAGAGGAGGTAAGTAAATAGTGTTTCTGATGCCACAAAGTGCCACACAAGCGTCTGAAGGACAGTGCATCTCATCTTAGTACTGGTGGCAGGCAGCTTTTGGGTCTTATAGAAGGAGGCATCGTGATGTTGGACTGGGATATGTGCTGGGAGGAGGCTGGAGTCACGCCGGGCACCAAACGGTGCAAAGAGGGTGCTTGGGGATGCTCAGGTGGGAGGAGGTGGGATGGAGAGCCCAACACAGCCGGCACCTGCATCCATGGGTCTCACTTGCTTCTGGACTGGCCCACTGGTTTCCGTGGGTTGATAAACAGCCTGCGCTCACATCAGGATCAGGGCAAGCGGGGGCATGACTTCCACTCTCTGTCGCCCGTCTCCATCACCTACAACCACCTTCAGCCCATCCTCATCAGGAGTTTCTGGATCAGGTCTGGCAGCTGTTGCTACTTCTTGTTGCTGTTCACCAACACGCGGCAGCGCAAGGGAAGGGCAGCGAGCCTGGTTGCAGCTGCCGGGCACCTCCGCTCCTCCAGGACACGTGCCCAAGCCTGCTACCACCTGAGATGTGGCAGTGAAACAGCTTCTGGGCATCTGCTGGCTGAAACCCTCGGAGACGCTTCACCCCAGAGCCAACCACTGCAGGAGGGCTCTGCAGAGGAGCCTGTGGGAGACGGTGGCAGGGCTGATCCTGGGTCTGGCAAGGATCCCGCTCCAGGAGGCTGCAGGGAGCTCTGCAAGCGCTTTTGAGGTTGCAACAGTCATGTCTGTCGAGCATGGGGAACTAGCCCTGGCAGCAACGAGGGCATCTGCAGGAATATGAAGTGACCCCTTGCAAAAGGGCCCACGTGGGAGGAAAGGATGCCAGGGGACCTTCCACAGGATCTGGGAGGACTCAGAGAATTCGCTCGCCAGAAGCCCATCTCTCATCAGACCTGTGCAGCATTCAATGTTATCACCTGCATCTTTCTGCCTGCTGAGAAGTGCCTCCTTAGCTCTGCCTCCTGTTATTTTTAAGGCTTTTAAACCCTCACTGCCAGTTTCCCTGGAAGCGGAGGACAGATTTGGGTTTCTTAAAGCAAAGGGTCTACAGGCATGTTTTAGCAATGTAGACCAGCTTGAGGTTGCGCTGCAGTTCAAGGAAATCTGATGATATCCACCTTGTTGACCCTCTGACTGTCAGGAGAAACTTGACTGCTGTTCAACTTGGATGTTGCTGAACATCTGTCTAAATAATTTGGTTCCTCAGGTCTCCCCAGCAGGTTCCCATCTGTAAGAGATTTTCATTTGCTGAAGCATCTCTGAGTTATTTCTGCACCGTGAAGATCAGAACGTGTGGCTGTTGGGCTGAACACCCCACTGCAGCCCCTGAGATAGTTGATACCCTTCCAGCACTGCAGTGGGGTGTATATTCAGGTCCATATGGGACAAACCACTATGGTAGCCCCAGCATCTGACGAAAGGACCAGTGAACATTTGGACAAGTTGTTGTCTCCACTTCTACCGTGACAGGAGTCCAGCAGCTGCTAAGATGAATGTCCCACATATAAAATGCCCAAGTGCAACCTTGGAAAAGAGCTCAAATGCTGATGTCCAAGAAAGGCATGCAGAAACACCTCATGCCTGTGTTGGTAAAGTTGGACATCTCGGTATATGTTACCAAGCCACGGAGATGCTTGAGGGAACCATAGTTCGATACACAAATGAGCAAGAGCAAAGATGAAGACTGTTGAGGAAATTCAAGCCATTGAGGACCATTGAGGAAATTCAAGGGACAGGCAATTGAGGAAATTCAAGCCTCCAGCTGGCTCTGATTTTTTCACAAGAGTGTGAAAGATGTTTTTAAGTAGGATTCTCTTCTTCTGCTGGTGCTGCAGCCACGTGGTGCTCTCCTGTCAATGGTGTGCACACCGGCGAGCCCTTGCATTGCACTGAAAGAGCTGAGGAGGGTCGCAGAGGCAGCGAGGGTGTCCCAGCAGGGTAGAAGAAGTGTGGGATGGGGTGAGCAATGTGAAACTATCAATGGTGTGCAGCTGCACCAGCCGATGAAGGGGCTCTTGGGGCTGGGCTGTCCCCGGGGAAGGCGGTGGGCTTGTTTTCTTCTTGTAACGCATCCTGTATAATCACCTTCAGATTTGGTGTGATTGGCAAGGGGATAAGTGCAGAGCACAGTCTGAAACATGACTTATTCCCATCCTTGCAAAACATTGACCAATTATTAGACCATGAAAATTATTATTACCGAAATGAGCCCGGTATAACAACTCGGCCTTCTTGAAGCCCTCTGAGATGCTGGGCATCGTGTGCGGATAATTGAAATTTGCCTCCTGAGGAGCAGAGCAGGGCAGGCTGCTGGATGTGTCCTGGGAGGACCGTGCTCACGTGCAGGTGGGATTCACCCCCGGGCTGTCTGTCTCCTGTTTTCATGAGCATTAAGGTCACTCGCGCCCCAGGGCAGAGGGAGGAAGGCTTCTGGCCAGCACTGTGTGGTTGTGCTCGCGTCCTGCTTGTGACTGCCAGAGCTGCCGCTTCTCAGACGTTCCCTCCATGCTTTTTTTCTAGCTAATAGGCTGCATAATCGGACGCCAAGGGACCAAAATCAATGAAATTCGGCAGATGTCGGGAGCGCAGATCAAAATCGCCAACGCCACAGAAGGGTCATCAGAGCGCCAAATTACCATCACAGGAACCCCTGCAAACATCAGCCTCGCGCAGTACCTCATCAACGCCAGGTGAGACCCCCCCGCCAACCTCCGCTGCCTTCTGCCATGGCCGAACCTGTCCTGACAGCGTGGTGGGAGCAGCACTCGCTCCCGGCACCACGGGGCAGGAAGGGCTTCCTGAGGCCGGCTGGGACGGATGGTGGCTTGCTGAGACCTCTGAGCGGGGACCAGACATCACCAGCGGGACCTCTCCCCCCAGCTGGCACTTTGGCTGGGGATTGGGAGCTGCTTCGCTGCCAGGGGAGCAGCCTCGGGCT